GAAGTGACGCTTCCAACATCTTGAGTTATTCTAATATACTTTTTGATTGACCCTGTGTTTCAATAGTATTATAAATTATTACTACGTGTTTTCTATTTCATTAAATCGGAATTAAAACAGACATACGCGTTTATTCCGCTAAACGTAATATTTAGGTTATTATATGATTTCGATATTATTTTTAAAGGATTAAGGGAATAAAAACAAGGCTTAATTACGTTATCTGTTCAGAAATGTAAATAATTACCGACATTTTTCGGCCGTTATGGAAATGAATGGAAACAAAAACTATTTGTTTCATGTTAATAGGAAAGTAAATAATACCTCGCAAAATCAATTAGTTTTGAATCGGGCTGATATATTTTAATATCGTTATAATATAATGCATTATTTATGTATTTCCTGTAGAAATAGATATATATTTTTACTTATTCTATTACATAGTGTAGTATGATTTTTTGTATTATTCTGCATCATTTTTATGGAATATTTTCTACTTTCCAATTAAATGATCCAATTAAACTAAATAACCTAGAATTCGTATTAAATTTAATCAAGCTCATCATGGAAGTGGAAGAATAATTGGCCTTTTCCTTCTTGGATGTAAAAATGTAGGAAGATTACACCGAAAATACAACACGATTTTGTCATCAATATACAGAGAACTGATATTTTATACAAATAGCGTAGATATACAGGGCGAGTCTTAAATAAGTGCAAATATTTTTAAAGCTAGTAGATATCCACAAAAGAAACATATTTTCTCTTTACCGTTTTTCAAATAAGTCCAAAATAACCGAGTTATTTTACTTTGAAAATTTCCAAAAAATAATTTCACTTTGGAAATTTCCAAAAAAAATAATTTTTTGTTTAAATTATGAGAACCACTAGATCTTTTTTTTTGTAAAACTAATCTTCTATCTATGTTGCCATATTATCAAGTAACTATATTTTTAACCAAAAACAAAAAAAATCCATTTTTTTTTCAAAATATTCAAAACCCCTAAAAATATTTGCACTTATTTAAGACTTACCCTGTACCTCGTAATGTGCTGACATTCAATTGCCTACATTCACCCTGTACCCTGTGACAATAAAAACCATTTCGAATGTGGATAGACTCCTAGCAAAAGCCTAGCGCAAGCAACAAAGTAATATTACTGAACACATTGATCTTTCATACCGCTACTTATGCATCTGAAACCTGGACCCTGCAAACACACACAAAACTACAAGCAGAAAAAAAAGTACTTAGATACTATCAAAATGTGGGTCTACAAAAGAATGCTGCGAATTTCATATACAAACATCGGACCAACGCAACGTCTCAATTCTAAGGCAGTTGAAAGTTACCACAAGACTTTCAACCAAAATAGGTAACTATAGGAACTAAGGTATTGGGCACATTTCGAGAAGTGATGGAGTGAAAAATAATCATAATCGAAGGGAAGGTTAATGGCAAACAACCAAGAGGATGTCTCCGACGCACTGGGTGTATACTAACCAAACTAAAGGAATTATTGATCACGGTCTGCTTACTTACTTACTGGCATTACTGACAAACAATGCGTTTGTTCTGTCGTTTCTTCTTAAGATCGGCAAAATCTGCACGGGAGTCAATACCATCAGCTTTAGATCCTTATAAAGCTAACAGGGAATTGTAAGGGCTGTTAGGCTTTGAAAGACGTTCTGTTTTTGCCTGTTAGGTCTGTCCTAAATTTTGACGAAAGTTTTATTATGAACTTCTTTTCCTGCCTCTGCCCTGGTGAATCTCTACATTATTCTATAGATTTGTTGTCCACCCACAAGATTCCATCCGCAACCTGGAATGGAAATCTTGCAATGCTCTAAGACACTCGAAGAAGTTTCTGAGGGTTTATGATCAAGAAAAATCACAGATCTTCCTGGGTCTGAGTAAGAACAATCTTCGGATTGTCACGGGGCTTTTAACAGGACACTGTCTCCTCAATGAACACCTCAGTAGATTGAAACTAAGAAGAAACGACGAATGCAGATTCTGTGGGGAAGATGGTGAAATACCAGTACACCTCATCACTGAGTGCGCCGAGACGACAACCATTCGTGCCATGAATTTTGGTACGACTGATATTGGAGATGGAGAACTACCCTCTATAAAACCGTCCCAGATACTGGTTTTTGTCAAAGCCCTGGGACTGTATGATGAGTTATGATTCAAGAAAGGGGGACACAATGGATCTGTAAGGTCGAAGTGATTAACCCCCCTCCCACTCATTCTAAATTCTAAAAATTCTAAGTTGTCCACCCACTGTTTTGTGGCTATTCTTGTGACTGCTTTTGCACTGATGAGCACTGATTTGCATTGATGAGCCTTGTTCGGCCATTTCCTCTGCCTTTTAGTTAACTCTTGAGGCTGTTGTATCTTGGTACTTAGGCATACTTTAGTAGATAACTATTAGGCATATCTGGGAGAGGCAAATACTGAAATTTAATTTAAAACTTATGGTTACGATTAATTTAGAAAATGGAAGCTAAATAGAAAATTATCGATACTTATTTGGATGTCGAATTACTTCAATTATATTTTGTTTACAATCATACCGTACTATAAAATCTAAGCTCTAATGAAGTATTTTCCAAGAAAGAGGCCGTACCGTTTTTCATCTTGTTAGTTCCATTGTGACTTGGATTTGATACCGCCACTGTTCGCTGTCATCGAATCAGAACAAACGACGAACTGAAACAAAAGAATGTCGCCGCGGCGGTGCCGACTCGCCATTTCCTCATTGGCCGCTATAAACGCCAATTCTATTGTTTTCTCGAAATCGGTCACTGTGAAATTGGTGACTGTTGTTTCTGGCGGGGAGCCAATCAAGATTATGATAGTAGTTACTTAAATAACTGAGAATAACAATAAGGCACCTGTTTCATAATAGAAGTTGTACGAAAACTGCTTTTAATTTGATTTATTTTATTTTTTATTATTATTTGAAAGTAAATGAAATATTTGCAAAAAAATGTCTTTATAGTAAATAATGTATATACCTTTCTGGCGGGTTCATTTCTGCAAAAAGGCATTAGTCAATGAAAAAAGGCAGGTAGCCACTGAAAGAGAAATCTAAAAACTAAAATATTTTTGTAACATGCCATTGGGTTAGAATCCAAACAGAAAATAAGTTCTCAGAGGTTTTTACTTGTAAGGGCATTTTATAACCAGCAAAAAAAAATACAAATTTTGACCCTCAAAGTTACCATGGTTTTTTAAAAACTTCAACAGATCCTGAAAAAAACAGCTCAGTGTCATTATATTCTCCTCATCCTCTACCTGCAAATGTTCTCCCGCTACAGGGGGAGGGTATTTTTCTCGGCCGGTGCATATTCCACTGCTACCGGGAAGATATTATCATCTTCTTCTGCCAGTGCATTTTGCAAGTGAGAAAATTCAACGTAGCCTCTTTATAATCATTTAGAGAATCTTCCTCTTTTGACATCATTATAATATTTTCATCCCGGTCGCTATATATTTCATAGAGCATCATTTTCCTTATTATCACATTGTGTTGCATTTCCAATATAACAACCTATATTAATACTATATAGTTGAGATAGTTGATTGTGAAAATGGCTGTACTTAGATTGAACTGTACAATTTTTTCTATCTAAGTTTTCTATCATAATTTTTTATCATAATTATTATTATTATTTAAAAAAGTTCTTCTGCCCTTAAAGTTCGAATCGAAATTATTACTAAAATATTTTTTATTAAAATCATCGCACCACCGTTTTTTTTATTTATTGATAGAGTTTCCAGAATGATACAAATTTCGGAAATATGCTAATGATATGTAATTTAATATTAACTCTTGTAAATCGCTTATTTCGTAAATTATATTTTTCTGAAAAACTCTCTAAATTTATATTTTCGGTCAGCAAAAGATAATAATGATAATTATACGATGGATGTAAACCATATTCGAAATGTTCTTTAAAATTTTAAAATTCACTTTACCATCAATTTCACATGCAGTTGATTGTAAATCGTAATAATAACACTTTATGTCGTCCTTTTCACCTTGTTTCCGTGTACGTTACCTCTAAACTCTACAAGAAAATCTTTTTTAATATCATTCCAAACACTATTAAAATTATTTTTGTTAATAATATATGCCTTATACCAATAAAAAGCAGTACTTTTATAACAAGTAATATTTTAAAATCTTGTCTTAAAAGCATAGTACCAGCCATACCTACTAGTTATTTCATCATTTCAACTCACCTGTCGACTCACAATTTCAAAGTTGTGAGTTGACATGTCGACAACTTTTTAAGTTTTATAGACATTGAACTGATTTTTTTTCCAGATTTGAGGATTAAAGTATAAACATTATAACTTTGTCCGACAAAATAAATTGCCCGGTTTCTTAGTCGGATGTCAAAATCAAAGTTGTTTTGATGATTGTTGTTGATTTTATGACTACAGATAAAAGAAAGAGTCCAAACTGTTTGCGAAAATTGTCGCAGAGGAAAAAGTGAATATCACTGGTCAAAATTCAGCCCCACAGAATGTTACGAAAGTACTGTATGATTGAAACAAAAACGGCATCAGCGATGGCTATGAAACGAGCTTTGAAATCACTATTGCTGTCATTTTATATGTAAATTTATATAGGAAATGTCATCGATCGTCATTTCTCAGCCAATTGGACGCCGTTTTTTTCGATCATACGGTATTTAAATAAGTAAACTCATGTTAGGGGTCCTGTGTAATTGTGCATCTATCTATTATCTTATAGTCGAAGCTTCCCCTAACATTAGGATGATTTATTCTGAGTCAGTCCACAAAAACTACGTTACGTAAGAATACGAAAAATATTCGTTATTCAATAAGAAACCGTCGCGTCGGTAGAGTTCAGTTTTTGCCATTAAAATACTTATTTTTCTCTAAACAATACATATTATTATTGGATACGATAAAGTCGATTGTTATTATACATTATATTAATTACTATTAATTGTTTCAGATTGTTTGGTATGAAAAGATGCGCCCGATGTCAAGCAACAATACTTTCCTCTGAACTGGTGATGCGAGCGAGGGATTTAGTGTTTCACGTGCACTGTTTTTCCTGCGAGATGTGCAACACTCCGCTGACCAAGGGCGATCATTTCGGCATGAGAGGGTGTTCGGTGTTGTGTAGGCTACATTTCGAGATTCCTCCCGATATGGCGTCGACGGGGATGTTTCCTCTTCACCATTTTCCACCTAAAAGTGAACGTAAGTATTTTTAATTTGTTTATCTATAGAGACGATTTACGAATTGTTTTTTTTTAAGTCCAGAAGTTTATTTCTCCCATGTTTAATTAAAGCAACAATAGCCGATTCAACTTCTGGACTTAAAACCCGCTCTGGTAGAGTAACTATCAGCAAGCAATAATTATTGGTGATATTACTAAACCAATAAATATTATATCATAAGCGTGTTAAATGCTATAATTGTAAAAATCGTTACTGTCTTCTTGAAAATTGAATATCTCCAACAACTATTGAGAAATGATGCTTGAATTGACAACTTGAGGACAACATGGATTCTAAATTTCTTTCTTTGGAATACCATTCTACAGGGTTTACCATTTTATTTCGACAAAATAACATTTTGTTTTGTCTCGTATTTTTGAAAAAATAAGCTAAAATGTCAAATAATTGAGTTACAAATTGCTTAGGTTAGGTTGCTGGGATTTGGGATTATGTTTGATCCCTCACTCGGAGGCCTTGGACCCATTGCGATACCCCTGTTATTGTTGTACCAAACCTTCCTCTCATACTTTCTTTGCGTTAAAGCACTTCCAGCTCTTTGCAATGTCCCCAATGTCGCTGATGTTGGCTTCTGCTCCTTTCTCTAGTCTCTCCAAAAAACCTTGCCCTAAAGTTTTAAAGTATCGCGTGTCGGTATTCCAGTGTCGGACAGTGTCACAGCAGGTGCTCTATGGTTCCTTCTTCCTCTCCGCATTCTCTGCAGTAGTCGTCGTTGGTTTACAAAACGTTTGTAGAAATTGCTTAAAAATTATCAAAATCGGTCAACCAGAACAATATACACTCGGATAAAAAAACAACGGAAATTTTTTTCCTCAAACTGTATATAAATATATCAACTTAACCCATTTTTTTTTAACTAGTAGTTGACTTATTATATAGGTTTAATCGAAGGATTGTTGTTTACCCTAACTTTAAAATATCCTGTTTAATAATTTCGTGAGCAAATTTCCTTAAAATATTATTTTTCGGTAAAAACCATGTCTCCTGAGCATTTGGTTTTTTGACTCATGCCAACTTACCGGCAACAAATTTACCAACTTAATTTGTAATTTTTTCAATTATCATTACTTTTTGGTGTTGTTTTTCGATATGACGAGGTGGTTTTGATGACTATACTATAAACTCGCCAGACGAAGTTCGGCAGATCTGGACCCTATAGAACAGGTTTGGGCATACCTGGTAGGAGACCTAGAGGTTATAGGCACCAGCTTCAAAACATGAACTTCTTTTGGTCCTTCAAGAAGAATGGGAAAACATATCGCAATATGATATCTGTAGCCCCACTGACAGTATGAATCGATGCAAGCTAGCGACAAGCAGTTATAGTAGCCAGGGGTGGCAATACGAAGTATAAGTTTATTGTGTTTGAATACTAAGCTATTACAGTTATTATACTTAAGTTATTACAGTTATGTTTTCTTTAATATCGTTAGTACTGTTATTGTTTTTAGGTTTATTTTAAGGTTTATTATAACCAAGACTGTATAGTTATTCTTTAACATTTTTTTTTAAATTCAGTATAGACTATCAAATGCGGCATCAGGAGGACATTAGGATAATACTCACCAAAGCCACCTCGTCATATTTAAAAATAGTATCAAAATATAATGATAATTGAAATAATTGTAAATTGTTGGTGGTAAGTTCACTTCGCACTTAAAAATTAACCAAGGCATGCGGTCACATGGGCCAATTCTAAGATACCTATTGTTTGTACCTGTTAGTGTATATGAAATTCGACAGAAACTCTAGAACAACCAGTTTTAATTTTTCATATAATTTTATCTTAGAATTTTTATATTTATATTAATGAAAACTTGTATTTCTTTCAGCTTATATGCCGCCCTTCCCCAGTCCGGAGTTCCATCCCGCGTTACCACCCCAAGTACCGCCGCCCCCCACGGAGCCCCACGTAGGCAAACCCGCCTTTTTCAACGGTCAAACCGGAGCGCCCCCTAGGCAGAAAGGCAGACCGCGGAAACGGAAACCGAAAGATCTGGAAGGGATGACAGCTAACCTAGGTATGAATTCATTTATTTATTTATTTATCCATTCATTCATTAAATTACACATGAGGCGCCAAGTCGCAAAACCAGATTTATCCATTTAAAAAAAATTGGCGCCGGGAAGCACGTATAGCCGCCCATACTAAAATATGTTAATATCTCGAAAACTGCGACTTTGACTGATTTTGATGTTATTACAAATTTTGTTGCAAATATTATTCCTAATCTTAATTTGAAAACCGCGTTTCGCTAGCTACTAATAATCTCCCTAATTTTGGAGTTACGATTTTTTAAAATTTTTAACCCCCTCCCATACCCCCTTACCAACCCCCCACCCCCACCAAAAATTAATGGCCAGATTCTCGGGTGCCACAGTATTTTTGTGCCAAATTTGGTTAAAATCAGTTCAGCGGTTTTTGAGTTATCGTGTTACAGGCGGACAGACAGATAGACAGACACCATGAAAATATTTTGTATTTAGGTCATTTATGACCCAAGTAACTCATTTTGAGTGAAATTAAAAAAACTTTTTTTTGTCTATCTTAATAGCCTACCATACCTATTGGTATGGTCGGCTAAAAACGGAGAAAGTTGAAATAAGCCATGTATTAATAGTGGACTTTCAAATCTACGTAAACAAGTCCCAAACTGCAGAAAAAGTCGCCTATTCCAGTATAAAATTCACTAAAAATTACGTTACTGCAGCAAAATCCGTTTTGTCCATTATACTTGCTTTTTATTGTCATTATTGTTGCAAATACCGCATTTTTTCACAGTCTTATTCATTTCAAATCCTTACTTAATTTTAATAAAATAGCATATCTAATAAATCAAATTAGGATGCAAATATCTTGTTGTAGCAAAACCCGCAATATTATGCATCAAACTGCAACAAAACTCGCCATATCCGAATTATTTTTATTTCTCTTTAAAAATTAAATATTTATTTTTATTTCTAGAAAAAATAATTCCACTAAATGGACACCAGTTTTGTAAAATAACTCTTCAAATTTTTGCTAAAACAGTTTTTATATATTATCTCGAAACAACGTTGGTTAGGTTAGGTGTGGGATAAGACAGGTTTTGCAACTTGATGTCTCATATTTTTAATCGATTGTTACTCTGTTATACACATTAAAAACTATTCATTCTCCTTTTATTATTCTAACTATTTAAAGAAATATAAATATTACAAACAGCAGATGTGTTGCGCTAAATTATGAAATAAATAACGGTACTTCATAATTTCTGTTATTTCTTCAAAAGGCATCCCTCTGTATCGAAACTGACAAGAAAAAAATAGCGAAGAGTGAAGCAAAAACTAGCGGAGATATCAATGGGGAAAATTAATGAATTAATAGCAGATCCAAATACTACTTATTATAAACCAGATACTGAAGAGAACTAAGAATTAGAGAATTGCTATAAAAATCGGAGAAGAACTATTGGAATATGTAGTGGAATCCAATTACCTCGGCAGTTTGATTTCAGAAAAGGCCAATATCGACTCTGAGATTCAGCACAGAATTAGCAGCGCCTCAAGAGTATTCTGGAAATTAAAAAAACATGGTTTTCTACAAACATGACTTGAGTACAAAAACGAAACTTGCAGTGTACCGAGTAATAATAATTCCCACCATATTATATGGAAGCGAAACCTGGGTGCCGTACCGCCGCCACACGAACGCATTAAAAAAGTTGCAACAGAGACATCTTCGACAACTGTTAAGAATCAAATGGAACCACCATGTCCGAAACGTATCAGTTCTTGAAAAAGCTAGCTGCGAGAGCGCTGAAGTCATGATTACTAAATGCATGGATGGGCAAAGGTACAAGGATATTTTCCACGAAAACTTAAAAGGGATAAGCATGCATAATCAGTGAGAGGAAGCAGCGCACAATAGAACGCAATGGAGAAGAATTGTAAACTCAGTTAACAATGACAACCAAAAAGTATAAAGGGAACAAAGTAATGATATTTTTGGATGTCCGGTGTGCGGAAGAGAGATAACATCACGTATCGGGCTTTTCAGTCACAGAAAAGCTCATGAAAGAAAACGCCTTGCGTAACCATCTTCTGATGCATGTCAAATACTCGTCAGCGAGTAATGGCAGTACGTAAGTAAGTATTGAAGAGAACGATTTAGGAGTCGGTACTGGGTATAGGCTATTTTTCATGAGGAGTTCGTAGAAACCATTCAAGATGCTTCATTTCAATGAGTCCTTTAAAGAATTTTATACAAAACTCAATAAAACAAAGAAGGAAATCTTTTATTCGTAATTTTTAAAATCTACATTGAAATTCTTATGATCAGATTGGCAATGTAACACACGGTATACCACTATCTGCTAGAAATCTCCATTCAGAGAGAAAATATATCATGTGGAAAGAAAAATGCAACGACCTTTCGAGGTAAAAACGACCTTTAAATGTATACGAACGGCTGCAACGAGACTCTTATGAATTTCTTCATATATCCATGTCAAAAATGTTAATAACAATTAATTTATTATCGACAATCACGAATATCTTGGCCTAATTGCCTAAGCGCGGCAATGCTATGCGAATATATTATCCTATAACATTAATTATTGAAATATGAGTTAAGTAATTGGTGAATTTGAGATTAGGCTTTAATTGTACAGAGTGAAATAACGCAAAATTGGCTGTCTATTGAGAACGATATTAAAGCTATATTATACACTATAGCGATATTAAAAACAGCAGGTTTAGTCGTGACTGACTAAGTTAAGAAAAAACTACTAATTTTACTGTAATGGAGCTGGATATAACCAAGAGAGACCTTAAAAGAATAGAGTGGATACGACAAAAGTAATAGATGTCATCCACAGAGTCAAATATCTCAAATGGCAATGGGCAGGACACAGACTGGCAAGAAGAACGGACAACAGATGGACTACAAAAATTACAGAATTGTATCCACGAGGAATTAGGAGACCTAGAAAAAGACCGAACCTGAGATGTGATCATGATATTAGGAAATTAGCAGGGATGATTTGGGCTCGCATAGCCAACAATAGACAACAATGAGCCCAACTACAAAGGTATGATCTAAATATTAGAGGGAGGTTACACCATAATTGGAAACGGTTGAATAAGCTGAAAATGATGATATAAATTAAGCAAATGTCTGAGTATGTACACAGATTCCTATGCAAATAATCATAAGCCGGCAGGCTGGTTATGAGTAGGCTGTTATTGTGTCCCTATATAAGAATATAATCTTGTAAAAAAATTACCGAATGATTTTTTGAATACACAATATGAAAAAAATAAGTGTTTAGTTATACAATAAAGCAAAATCTTTTTAAATAGTAGTTATTTTTTATACAAGACGATAAAATGGTATTTTATCGTCGACCGAAAAGATTAATTCACGAACGACGAAATCGCGAGTGAGTTAATTTCGGGAGACAATAATGCAATTTTATCGTCGTGTATAAAACAATATTTTTTTCCATAGCGAGTTACGTTTTAAAAAATATTAAGAAATTATTATTTAGCAATTTATTACGAGTAGAAAAAATATTTTGCTGGGTTGGGGTTGGTTTCTATGTAATTTGACAAATAAATAAAGCTGTCTCTTTAGTTGTCAGTTTTGAGTCAATATTTTTTAATTCTCTTTCATGTCGATTGCTAATTGAATTGGAGCCAGAAATGGCTCAAAACGAAATAAGTAAATTACCAACAGACGCGCGGTAAATTACCAACAACATTGCTGAGGCGGCGAACGCCATATCCAAACTACTTCCATTTAAATCCCGAATAACTTATGAAAAGGAATACAAAAATTTTCAAAAATGGAAGCAATTAAAAAACGTGCGAAAAGAAATAAAGTTTTTAACCTATCCTCGTTGTTAAAGTGTCATTTAATCTATCCTTGCGGTTAAAGTACTATTTTATCTACTATTTTTGATAGATATAAGGCAATTTTAACAGTTGTTATGGAAAAAATTATATAACGGAATTAGATAATGTTAAGAAGATAATTATAGAAAGTAAAGCTCGTATAAAAGAATATATCACAATTAACACTTGAAAAAATCTCAATTATTTTACGAAATATTCAATAAAAATGCCTTCAAACACCTGTCCAATTAAGACAGGTCTAAATTGAAATTCCAATTAATTAAGAAAATAGTCCTTTTTTTTTCGTAATTATAAAAGTCATTTTAGCGCACTCAATAGCGTCGTTTTTATATAATAACTCGTCATTTAACAGATAGTTAACATAACTTTGAAGCGGCTTTACGTTAACCGACATTCTTAGAGCTGTAAATGTCATTGATCGAATGAGGTTTAGATTATTAAGTAGGTAAACATTCTTTCTGTTTCGTAAATTTACCAGAAAAATCTCAAAGTTTACACAAGATATAAACGGTAAAGTATGAAAAATTATAATATAAAAAATTTGGAAAACAAAAAATGTAAATCAATGCCAAAAAAATGTTACCTGATTTACAAATGTTCTTTTCTAAATAAAGTTAAGGATATTTTGGAAATTTACTAATTACACTTAAATACAGCCTATTGCATCGCCAAGATAAACATAGGAAATCCCATATAAATTTTAAAAATGATGAATATAGAATGTTTAGAAGGGGAGTTAATTATCGCGACCTTACAGATCTATTGTGTGTTCCCCTTTCTTGAATTACAACGGTTATAACTCATCATACAGTCTCAGGGCTTTAACAAAAGCCAGTATCTGAGACGGCTTCACAGAGGCCAGCTCACCATCTTCAACGTCAGCCGTACCAAAGTTCATGGCACGAATGGTCGTCGTCTCGGCGCACTCAGTGATAAGGTGTTCTGGTGTTTCCCCATTTTCCCCACAGAATCTGCATTCGCCGTTGTTTCTCAACTTCAGCCTACTGAAATGTTCGTTGATTGATTGTTCTTGCTGAAATCAACGAAAACCTTTGATTTCTCTCGGTCGTAAGTTTTGAGGAACTTTTTTGAATGTCTTATAGACCGTTGGAAGGTTTATATT